GAAGACCCGCCCCGCACCGGCTGCCGGGGACGCGGCGGAGGCCCAGCCGTCGCCATCAGGCCGCAGCTACTCGCCTGTCGGCCCACGGGGACGAAACCGCAGCAGGCGACGCTGCAGGAGACGGGCTGCTCCGAGGGCTCTGCCGCACTCTCACCGGGCACCAGCGTCCAGCCCGTTGGCGAAGGGGGCTCCCGAGAAAGCAGGTAGGAAATGGTGCCGGCGCGGGTGGAGCCTGGAGAGCGAAGGGAGGGTTGGTGTGCGGTGGGCAGGGCTGGCAGCGCCGGTGACAGGGCTGCCTGGCTCCTCTGCAGGGGAGCGGGAATTTCTGGCTGAAATGCTCCATCCTGGGAGTCCGTCTTGGGGTATTTTCTGTCCGTAAGGACAGTCGAAAGTGTTCAGCTATTTCAGAGAACAGGATTATGACAAAAGATGCATTTATTTCAGTTATGTGTATAGGCACATCTGTGTGAGGGAAGAATGACTTTTTTTGGGTAGCATTTATGGCTCCATGCTCTGGAGGACTGACGATGTGAGATCCTTAGTGCTGCAAAAGCCTCGGTGCCCTGCCATCCTCTGGGAAAATATGCCCATATTGTAAATCTAGTTCCTCTGTTCTTAGTCAAAACACCTTTGATTTTATAGCTAGATCCAAAGGGCTGCTCAGTCATCCGCAGCCTGGGCTAGGAATTAGTGGAGTGTTCCCCTCATGAGGCAAAACACTGATCACCCTCATTCTGGCAGTTCCTACCTTCCAGGGGCTTGGCTTTGCCAACTCACTGCTCTCTAAGGTTGGTTTCTTGTGTCTCAGCTGGAATGTTCAGATATCAGCCCTGAAAGTCACAGCGAGGAAATCCTCTCTGTATCGCACAGGGAATGTAACTGCTTTGGTTTTCTCATGTGAGGGGTTATTTAATACGGCAATATCTGATTTAATGGGATTGCACACTTGACAATGAACTAACACTCGCTGCCTAAATCCTCCTGTTCGGTTAGAGAGCATTAGAGACAAGCGATTCCACTGAATTCATTGTTGTGGTAAATAGACAAATAAATACATAAGGAAATGCAAACTCACGTTCAGCTGCACTCGTCGGCTCTGCTGCCAGGAAAGCCAACTGTCTGGCCATTTCTCTCTCCTGCTGCCTGCAAAACGGAAGCGTTCCTGATACACATTTCATATGTCCTGTTTTGAAAGCTAGAAGGACTGGACCTCCTCGCTGTAGGAACACAAGTTTCTGAACCTGTTTTTCTTTCCACTCACACAATTGCAAATAACAGTTAGAGGCAACAGAATAGCACCAAAATAGAATATCTCAGCAAAAAGGAATTGCTCCCATACAGAGGCTTCAGTGAACAGACTGCAGTTGCAATGGCATCAGCTCTGCTGACAGCAGAGCAAACGTGTAATGGATTTTGTATCAAGATTTTATGTAAAAGAGGAGAGCTGCCCACGAGATCAAGAAAACAGCTAATCTCCAAGAATATTTTCACTGTTTTTCTTATCTAGCTTCCTCTAAATTTGACCGTGTCTGACAATGGCTTCAGTTTATGCTCTGTATGTAATACGAGGTACTCACGCCATCAGACCGCAGAGGATCTTCAGGGATCTATCGATTTACTTCCAGATTGCTGATCTACTTTTCTTTGAGCCTACGCCATACGCTTGGATATTTGTATAAGCTTTGGGGCTCCTGCTACACAGCCCAGCAGAAGCCAAACTGGCAGAGTTCTCGTGACTCTGGAAATCGGAATCCAAATACGTGTCACAGTTTGTGCAGCAAAACAGAGCTTCGTTTCAGCACCTGAGGTAAAGCTAGACCCAAACACCGTCCCCCCACAGCTGCAATTACGGTTTTGGCTCTGTCTGTCTCCAGGTATTACATCTGTCAGCAGCAGAATTGATGCTTTAGCACATACCTCGCCACCTTCTCGATCAGCCTGATCAGAGAAGAGCCGAGAGGGTCCAGACAGAATATGAACTCGTGTTGCCTAAAGCAAATTTTTTTCTTCTTTCATTCCCTCTTGCTGCAGTTCCATTTTCTGAACGCGTCTTTCCCCTCCCAAGTCGCCTGTTGTTCCTACACGGGCCCATCCCCCGCTCCCCTGTACCACTTCCCGGTACCTCCGGTACGCTCTCTCCTCTGCCAGCAGCCCGTCAGCACCGGGGCCGTGGGACTCGCGGGGGCCCGCAGCCACGGGGACGCTCCGGGCCCCTTCACAGTTCCTCCTCTCGTTCACGATGAACTCGTAGAGGTCTCGGTTCTGCTCACAGCAGAACTGCTGAAAGGCAGGAGAGCGGTGCCAGGAGCGGGCCTTTCCACAGCCATCCGCTCCTCGCCTTTCCCACCGCCTTACGGATTGGTAATCCTGTGGTGGCGGGCAGACGTCTTCGAGCAGGGGGAACGGCTTCAGCAGGCTGCCGCAGTACTCGCACCTCGGAGCAGAGTCCTCCTCCGTCTGCAGAGGGGGGGAGAGAGAACACGGGGCGGACAGAAACACGGTATCAGCAGGCAAATCCTTGGTTTAGCTTGGGGAAAGAGGGCTCTGCTCAAAATGCGATGCTACAGAGCACCGAAGAGCGCTTAAACCAGATCTGTGTCTGTGATGTCTTGGAACGACTTAACTCCAAACATTAGGTTCAGGACATGGCCACAAAGAAAAGCAGCCAGTAAATAAATAAAGACCCTCAGAGAAATGGAATGGTGGTAGTACTTAGGAGACCCATTCCTTCCAAGGGAAGGCTTCAGAGCACGCAGAACGCTATAGTTGAGTGCTCTGATGCACAAGCCCTTTCAAATACGTTGCCTGGGGCTTCAGAGGGAAAAAGCTGCCAGGTTGTTGCACTGCTGATAGTAGGAAATTCTGTGGGGAACATGATGAGGGACCACCAGCAGACTTGTTGACAAAAGAGCTGAGCATATGCGACCAGATGCAGATCAGGGCTGCTCCAGGATATATTTTGAGGACGGATACTAGATATTCTGAAGGAATATCTATTTTTTTAAAACATTTTGGAACATAGTTATAGAAGGTGCAGCTGCCAAGAGGACACTGCTGAATTCCGTGCCCAATGCCTCTGCTGCCAAGGGCAGCACACCCGGCTCAGCACTCCTGGGGGAGACGGCAGCCACCCCGCCGCCGCCGCAGCGAGGGGGGAAGGGGGGTGCGTGCTCCGGGCCCTGAGCTGCTGCGCTTTACTGTGGTACGTGTTTAGCACTCTAATTCCAATCCTTTTCTGAACGTGGTAATTTGAAATACTTGGTTTCTCTGGAGCAGTTTCTGGAAATTCCCTCGCTCCCTGCCTCGTGCCTAGGATTAACTCTCTGTGATGACTTTACTCTGCTAGGGCTTGTGGGGAACTCTATGCTCTGCTTCTATTCTTTGACTGCACGCCTAGTATTTACATAAATTTTGTACCCCTGTTTTAGCCAAAGGGCAAAGTCTTCTGCTCGGAAATTCTCGACACTGATGCAGTGGGGGGGAGGAGTTGCAGAGCCTCTTGCTGTTTAGGTGTGCCCAACAAGCGTCGTTTCAAAAGGAAACCCCTTTGATAACGGAGCACCTGCACTGGCTTGGCAAAGGGCATTATTTTGATTTTTTCTGCATGGGAATCGTAGGAATTAAAGTCAAGAAAAGAAGCCAGGCAGCAGGGAACACTCACCGCCGACTCACCTCAATCTGTACATTCTCTCGTGAGGAGTCCCGTCTGTAGGCCAGAAGGGTGGGCAGGCCCACGGAGGGGAGCGTGCGCAGCGATTTCTCGAACAGCTTCACAAAATCTTCTTTGAACTCGAAGTGGAAAATAGCAAAAGCAATGTGGAGTCACACCTTTGTTCAGGGGTAAAACCCTTAGTCACAAAATGTACACATGCAGCCCGGGTGAGTCCTTACCTCCATGTCGCACAACACATCCAAGCTGCCAAACTCTTCCGACAGGGCTGCAAGGAACAGCGACAAGGAGAATTACTGAACAGCAGCGCCGTGTTCTCAGACAGCTCATCTTCCAGACACCTCTGGTTTGCTCCTTTTTCAGCGCGCCAGCCTTTCCCCACCAACTACATCGGCCGCCCGAGACCTTCTTGCCGGACTTGGCCCTACGCTTTCAGAAGGGCGGCTCTGGATCTGCGCAACACCCTTCCCAAATGCCTGAGGGGCTGGAGCCAGGCACTGACCCCGCATCAGGGCTTTACAAAGCCGTCCCACTGAAGTCACGGAGAGGGCTGGTTGCTTAGGGTCAGTGGCTGGTAGCACTAACCTAACATTGCATTATCCTCTAAAGCATTTCCAGCCTCTCTTCCCCTACAAAGAAAGAGCTGTAGAGGTGAGGGAAGTTTTTTCTCATTGCCAAGCACAGTCCGTGCCCCGTGAGTGCCACGAGGGTTTGTTGGCCTCTGGGGCGACAGGAAACACCTCAGATGACCGGGTGACAGTCGCTGTCCCCAGCGGTCCCAGGTCCCTCTCGGCAGGCAGCGCTGCCGACACCCAGCTGCCCCAGCGCACAGCCGCGAGCTGCCCCGCGTGCCCCACCGTCGGCTTGAACGCCCGCAAACTCGGCGCGTCCCCAGCTCTTTTAACCCTGAACGTCAGGGCCCCTTGTTGCCACCCGGTTTGCCTTGCCCTTCTAAGCTTGCCCTGCTTCCCAGAAAATACTCAGCCAGGTGAAACTCTGGGCAGGCTGAAATACCAAACCCTTTCCAAGTCCTTCGCTTGGAAAGTATGAAAAAATGAGAACATGTGTTTTAAAAGGATAGGGTAAGAATCACGACAGCCCCGGCTCAAACCCCAGCTCCCAGGGCTGCTGTGGGAACCACAGCTCGGGAACGCGCCTGGGGGTGAACGCACCAGCACAGGAGGGGGAGAGCAGAAGGCGATGCTACGGGAGTCACTTACACTTCTAGACGGCTGAATGATGCGGCTGCTGGTGCGCTTGAACTTTGATTTTTACATTGCAGAGGTGTAGTTATTGCCCTCCACAATCCAGCGGTGTCACACAGAGTAACTGATCGTAAACCCCACCCAAGAGGCCATGCAGGGAGCGCACCAGCGGGGCTGCGCCGCTGGGGCACGGCTACGGGTGCACCGTGGCACAGGGGACGCAGGGAAGCCTGGATGCGGCTGCTGGTGCGCTTGAACTTTGATTTTTACATTGCAGAGGTGTAGTTATTGCCCTCCACAATCCAGCGGTGTCACACAGAGTAACTGATCGTAAACCCCACCCAAGAGGCCATGCAGGGAGCGCACCAGCGGGGCTGCGCCGCTGGGGCACGGCTACGGGTGCACCGTGGCACAGGGGACGCAGGGAAGCCTGGCAGCCAGGGCGCAGTGCTCCGAGTGGGTGGACATGCTGCCCTCCCTAACGCCCTTCGCAGCTTCTGTATCGCCTCTATCTGCCACTGCTGCCTCCAAACCCAGGGAGATGATTTACCACCGGCACAAGCGTGGTTGTTCTGTACTCTGACAGTCACCCCAGGGACTCGTGACGCTCCACCTAAAGCACAAAGCCTACGATGTTTTCGTCCTGCCAACACACTTGCAGTGCGTTTCCAAACAAAGGAAGAGCGCGCCCTGTATCTGTCCTGGGCTGTCCGTGGCCCCTGTCTGTTACAGAATCACAGAACGGTCAGGGTTGGAAGGGACCTCTGGAGATCACCTAGTCCAACCCCCATCTCGCCTCCCTTTCTGTTGGGAGGGATCTGCACGCAGCTTCCCCAGTACCTCCAGCTGGTGTGCTGTGTTTTGTGTCCCGGATCGCTCCTCCTGCTCCCAGAGGCAGGTGAGATGTGGGAGACGTTCTGCTACGGAGGAGGGCTGCCTGGCATTGAAAAGGGAGCACAAAGGCTGTTCGATGTGCTCAGAAGGGGTGGGATCGGGCACCAACTACCACGAACATGCCGCGTGCTGCGGCACAATGCTGTACTTCAGCGGGCAAGTGATGGAGCGGGTTGCTCGGTCAAGTGCCAGGGTGACTCAGCTGAGCAGGGGGAGAAAAAAGGTTGATGATTTTCAGCCTTCCTTAGAGGCTTTGCCAGTACCTCCCGCAGGAACACACTACGCCATTTCTGCCACTGCTGAGCCCCCCTACGCCGGCTGGCTGGCAGCGCATCTCCACATGCGTAACGGGGACCCAGCGGCTCGTTTAGAAGCGGCTCTGCAGAGAGGCTGACGAGGGGACAGCAAAGGGGGATTCCTGGGGGCTGCTCCCGGGATCTGCCGCCACTCTGCAGAAGGATCTCCAGGAAACTGCGAAAGTCACGCGTTTCCTACGAAAGACACGGGGGTACGAGGCAGCTGGAGCGAAAGGCAACGCGAGCGAGCAACCCCGTTCTTGAGCAAAGCTGTTCCTTACTTGGTTTTCTGGGGGCGCGCTCCTGAAGCCACCCAGCTCCTGTCGGCACCGGCACCTCCCGTGGCGCACTGGGCTCGACGCTGCCCGACGTTTCCATTTCCCCTGATTTAAGGCGCAACCCCCCGTTAGTCACACGCGATGACTTTGAAGCACTGCCCGGGCCCGTTACACGGACGAAGGGGGCTCTTCCAAATGCGTTCCACCGACA